TCTACTGTTCATTGATTTCTGCTCTGATCTTTATTATTTCTCTTCTCCTGCTGGGTTTAGGCTTTTTTTGTTGTTCTTTCTCCAGCTCCTTTAGGTGTAGGGTTAGGTTGTGTACTTGAGACCTTTCTTGTTTCTTGAGAAAGGCTTGTAATTGCCATATACTTTCCTCTCAGGACCGCCTTTGCTGTGTCCCAAAGATTTTGAACAGTTGTGTTTTCATTTTCATTTGTTTCCATGAATTTTTAAAAATTCTTTAATTTCCTGGTTGACCCATTCATTCCTTAGTAGGATGCTCTTTAGTCTCCATGTATTTGAGTTCTTTCCAACTTTCCTCTTGTGGTTGAGTTCTAGTTTCAAAGCTTTGTGGTCTGAAAATATGCAGGGAATGATCCCAATCTTTTGGTACCAGTTAAGACCTGATTTGTGACCCAGAATGTGATCTACTCTGGAGAATGTTCCATGTGCACTAAAGAAGAATGTGTATTCTGTTGTTTTGGGATGGAATGTTCTGAATATATCTGTGATGCCCATCTGGTCCAGTGTATCATTTAAAGGCTTAATTACCTTGTTGATTGTTTGCTTAGATAATCTGCCCATTTCAGTGAGGGAGGGTGTTAAAGTCCCCTACTGTTATTGTATTATTATTGATGTGTTTCTTTGATTTTGTTCTTAAATGGTTTATATAATCGGCTGCTCCCATGTTAGGGGCATAGATACTTAAAATTGTTAGATCTTCTTGTTGGACAAACCCTTTAAGTATGATACAGTGTTCTTCCTCATCTCTTATTAATGTCTTTGGCTTAAAATCTAATTTATCTGATATAAGGATTGCCACCCCAGCTTTCTTTTGATGTTCATTAGCATGGTAAATTGTTTTCCACCCCCTCACTTTAAATCTGGAGGTGTCTTTGGGTCTAAAATGAGTTTCCTGCAGACAGCATATCAGTGGGTCTTGGTTTTTTTTTATCCATTCTGGTACTCTGTGTCTTTTGATTGGGGCATTTAACTCATTTACATTCAAGGTAACTATTGAAAGATATGAATTAGTGTCACTGTATTGCACTGTAAGGTGACTGTTACTGCATATTGCCTCTGTTCCTTTCTGTTCTGTTACTTTTAGGCTCTCTCTTTGCTTAGAGGACCCCTCTCAACATTTCCTGTAGGGCTGCTTTGGTATTTGCAAATTCTTTTAGTTTTTGTTTGTCCTGGAAGCTTTTTATCTCTCTTTCTATTTTCAATGACAGCCTAGCTGGATATAGTACTCTTGGCTGCCTGTTTTTTCTCACTCAGTGCTCTGAATAGATCCTGCCAGTCCTTTGTGGCCTGCCAGGTCTCTGTGGATAGGTGTGCTGCCAATCTAATATTTCTACCATTGTTTGTTACAGACCTCTTGTCCCAAACTGTTTTGGGATGTTCTCTTTGTCACTGAGACTTGTAAGTGTTACTATTAGATGAGAGGGTGTGGACCTATTTTTATTGATTTTGAGGGGAGTTCTCTGTGCCTTTGGGATTTTGATGCTTGTTCCCTTAGTCAAATTAGGGAAATTCTCTGCTGTAATTTGCTCCAATATACCTTCTGCCCCCCTCTCTCTCTCTTCTTCTTCTGGGTTCCCAATTATTTTAATATTGTTTCATCTTATGATATCACTTATCTCTTGAATTCTCCCTTTGTGGTCCAGTAGTTATTTGTCTCTCTTTTTCTCAGCTTCTTTATTCTCTGACATTTGGTCTTCTATATCACTAATTCTTTCTTCTGTCTTATTTATCCTAGCAGTAAGAGCTCCCATTTTTTATTGCACTTCATTAATAGCTTTTTAAATTTCAACTTGATTAGATTTTAGTTCTTTTATTTATCCAGAAAGGGATTTTATTTATCCAGAAAGGGATTCTCTAGTATCTTCCATGCGTTTTTTGAGCCCAGCTAGCACCTTGATAGTTGTCATTCTGAACTCTAGTTCTGACATACTTTTTTTAAAGATTTTACTTATTTATTTGACAGAGAGAGATCACAAGTAGGCAGAGAGGCAGGCAAAGAGAGGAGGAAGCAGGCTCCCTGCTGAGCAGAGAGTCCAATGCGGAGCTGGATCCCAGGACCTTGGGATCATGACCTGAGCCGAAGGCAGCCACTTAACCAACTGAGCCACCCAGGGACCTTCTAGTTCTGACATGTTACTAATGTCTGTAATGTACCGAGGCATTGGTACTGCCTCTTGTTCTTTTTTTTGAGGTGAGCTTCTCCACTTTGTCATTTATCCAGATAAGAATAGATGAATGAGAGAACATAATACTAAAAGGGTAGCAACAACTCCAGAAAAATATACACTAACCAAATCAGAAGAGACCCAAAGCCAGGGGGAGAAGAAAGGAGGGGGGGGGTAATATATATGTGTGTGTGTGTGTGTGTGTGTGTGTGTTAGACTGGTGAATGGAACCAGGCCACACACTTGATTTTGGGTGTATTTTGGTCTATTAGAAGAAATTGTTCCCCAAAATTTTAAAGAAAGAAAATACACACACACACACACACACACACACACACACATACATATGGGTTAAAATGATGAAGGGATGGAATATGACCATTAAGATGAAAATTTAAAAAGGAATTGATAAGACAAGAAGTTGGTTGGAAAAAATAAAAGAGGAAAGAATGTGATCAAGCTGGAGAATAGAACAAAGCTATGTGCTAGATTTAGGGTATATTTTGATCTGTTAGAAGAAACAGTATCCCAAAATTTTAAAGAAAGAAAAACCTATATAAACCTATATAGAAAATAAGGTTCAATACAATGAAGGGATAGAATATGAGTATAACAATGAAATTTTTTTTAACAATGAAAATTTTATAAGATTTTTAAAAGGTATTGATAAAATAGTTTAAAAAACATTAAAAGAGGAAAAATTTTAAAAAATAGAATAAGAAAAATAAAATTTAAAAAATTTAACCTTGAAAGACTAGAGAATCATGGGGAAAAAAAGCCATGAATTCTACGTGCTATATTCCCATCGCTCTGAAGTTTTGCAGTTCTCATTCAGTGAACTTGGTCTTGGCTGGATGTTCTTGCTTATCCTCTGGGATAGGGACCTATTGCAGTGATTCTCAAATGTCTTTGCCTGAGGCGGAATTGCATCGCCCTTGCCAGGGGCATGGCTAAATTATCTGCTCGGGTTCACTCTCGTGAGCTTTTGCTCCCTGAACGCTTTCTGTAGAGCTTTGGAGGACAGGAATGAAAATGGCAGCCTCCCAATCTCCGACCTCAGAGGAGCTGAGAGCTCAGGGCCCTACTCCTCCATGCACCCTCAGAGAAAAGCAGTCAATCCCTCCCGTCTCCCTGGTCTCTGCACTCCAAGCTCACCCAGCCTGTGACCAAGCATTTCTATCTCTGGTGCACGGCTCCATTTGGAGTCTCCAAACCCAGCAGATTCTTGCAGCGTGCTCCCGAGCTGCTCCTCCCAGAGGAGGAAGGAGGGGATCTCTCCAGATCTGCCACCTGTGGGGTCCCTGCTCAAAGAGCAGTAGCCTGACTCTGCCTAGGATGATGATTTAATGTAACTCTTTGGCTCGGTCATTGCAGCTGGCTTCCCCACTCTGATACCTGGGAGCTCTGTCACACTATGACACCCCTGGTCTTTTTGTGTCCCCATGGGTCCTGAGACCACACTGTCCCTGCAAGGGCTCCACTCCCCGCTTAGCCTCTGGAGCGATGTCCCTCAGTGGAACAGACTTCTAAAAGTCTTGATTTTATGCTCTGCTGCTCTGTGCTTCCTGGGAGCCAGCCCTTCCGCCCCCCACCCCACGCAGTCTGTCTTCCCATTTGTTGCCTTGGATTCACTTCTCCACATGTCCTACCTTCCAGAAAGTGATCGCTTTTCTGTTCCTAGAATTGCTGCTCTTCTTCTATCTCCTGTTGAGTTTGTAGGTGTTCAGAATGGTTTGATAACTATCCAGCTGAACTCCTGGGACCTGATGATATTGAGGTCTCCTACTCCTCCGCCATCTTGCTCCCCTGACACTGTGATTTTCTAAGACCATATATAGAAGAGAAGGGGCAGTTGGTCATTGCAGGAATAAAAGGCTGAGCTAGACCTAAGAGCAGATGTCTTCTCTCACAGATGTAGGAAGTTTGGGAGCTTATATCCTTTCTATCCATTGCTTAGGAGGGGGATATGCAATTTGGATTCACGAACATGTATTGACTTATTGACACAGCAGGGGCTAAGTGCCCTTGCTTATGTTATTCTCATGTAATCCTCACATTAGCACTGAGAAGTGGTACAGTATTATTTTGCAGTGGGGGGAAATGAGGTTCAGAGAGCACAAGCAAACTGCTTGAGGCCAAGTCAGCTGTGAATGGCAAGAGTTAGCCCCCAACCCAGGTCTTAAGGGGCTTTTACTCCCATGCCATGTTTTTGCATCATGATGTGAACAAATAATGAAAGGTTTAAGGCAAAACAGAGAGTCTCTAAGCCCAGTGTTTGCCGAAGATGACTTGTCTTCTCTTCAGAAAGGAAATATCCATGTGGGAGAGGTTTTACCTCAGAATGTGGAGATTACACTCTTAGTTGCCAGGAGAAGATGGGTAAACACTTTATTCAACGCCTCAAAGATGTGATAACAGAATTTTCCTTTTTTCATTTGCCCAGGAGAGAGTCAAAATTCACAACCATAAGACACACACCCCAAATGTGTGTGTAGGTCTGTGTGTACATGGGTGGGGAGAGAACACCAGTCAATACTTACTTGGGTTAGGTCCAGACTGTCCCTGACTATGATCGTTGGATTTATGATTTCTCAACTTTACAATGGTGGGAAAGCCACATGCATTCAGTAGAAACTGTACTTCGAGGGGTGCCTGGCTGTTTCAGTTTGCAGAATGTGTGACTCTTGATCTCAGGGATCTCAGAGTCATGAGTTTGAGTCCCACGTTGGGCACAGAGCCTACTAAAAATTAAAAAAGAAAGAAACTGTACTTTGAATTCTGAATTTGGATCTTTTCCAGGGCTAGCAATGTGCTTCTGTCCTGTGATGCTGAGTAAGGCAGTGAGCCACAGCTCCCAGTCAGCCATGCAATCACAAAGGTCAGTGACAATTATATTTACAACCATTCTGTACCCACACAGCCATTCTGTCTTGCACTTTTAGTACGGTATTTAATAAACTATGTGATGTTCACTTCGTTATAGAATAGGCTTTGTGCTAGGTGACTTTGCCCAGCTGTAGGCTAAGGTAAGTGTTCTGAGCACATTTAAGATGGACTAGGCCAAGCGATGTTCCATCAGTTAGGTGTATTACATGCATTTTCAACTTACTGTATTTTTGACTTAGGGTGGGCTTATTGGGGCATAATGCCATCATAAGTCAAGGAAGATCTATATTCTCTTAAGTCCTTTCCATACATGATTGCTCTTAGTCTTTGCGTATGTTCTTTGAGGCATTCTCCCCTTTACGTTCCAGAAAAACAAAACAAGAGTCTTTCAGGTTAAGGTTTGTGTAATTACTTACAGTACTCAAAGCTTATGAGAGGCAAGATTCCCACCCAAATGGATACAAGTAACTCCCATTTTCCCTGTAGCCCGAAACCCACCATTTGAAAATAGCACTTTAATTGAAATGGCTACTCTTACACTTCCCCCATGGACATGTGAACTGATAGCTTTCAGACTGAAACCGTGGCACTTTTGATCCAATTATAAAAGTAAGCATATTCCTTCAGCTGACTAATTCCATATCTGGGAATTTTGCCTAAGGAAATAATCAGGCATATGTGTGCAAAAATTAATGTGCGAGTAAGTTCTGTATATTGTTATTTGAGTTATTTATTCTTGAGTTATTAATATTGTTGCTAAGTTATGAGATTCAAATGTCGACTAGGATCCGGGTGCGATCCATTATGGTACATCCCTGAGGGGAATGTTAGGAAGTCATTAAAAATTATGGTGTAGGGGCGCCTGGGTGGCTCAGTGGGTTAAAGCCTCTGCCTTCGGCTCGGGTCGTGATCCCAGGGTCCTGGGATCGAGCCCCGCATCAGGCTTTCCGCTCTGCAGGGAGCCTGCTTCCTCCTCTCTCTCTCTGCCTGCCTCTCGGCCTGCTTGTGATCTGTCTGTCAAATAAATAAATAAATTCTTTAAAAAAAATTTTTAAAAAGTATGGTGTAGAAGAATATTTGATAACAGGAGGATACTGCTATCATATATTCAGTGAACACAAGCAGGTGTTAACCCAGTGTAGTATACCTACAGGATATATAGTATGCATTGAAAAAAATACCAGAAGAGATACACTGAATTTTCTGGAAAGACAGGACCTCACTTAATTTGACTCAAAGCTGACAAGAAGTGTTCCTTAACCAGAGGCTCAGTGCAGTGTCCATGTGAGGTTCTGTCTTCAGCATGTCTTCCCACCTCATGGAACAAAATCCAGATTTCTTAACTTAGGCTGGAAAACCCTAAACAATTCTGGTCTTCTGGACATCTATCCACCCTCCTTCTGTGTTGCTCACTATGCTTCCCCCACACAGGCCCTTTTTAGCTCCTAGACTGCATGTGCTCGACCCTAGTGTTGTGCAGGGACTTTGTACATGCTGTCCCTTCTGCCAGGAATATTTCCCCCATTCTAATGGCCGGCTTCTTTCTTCAGGTCCCAGCTTAAATGTCACCTCTTCAGTGCAGTTCTTTGACTGCCTCACGTAATGTAAGTATTCCCCTCTATTCTCCCCCACAGCATCCTGTTCTTTTTCTTTTTTCACACACGTGATAATTTGTAATGACATATTTATGTAGTTTACTTGTTCAGTATCTGCCTTCTTATGGAAGGTAAGACCTGTGAGGCTAAGGCCCACATCTGGTTTGCTCACCACTGTACTAAGTATCTACTCATGGCAGGCACTCAAGAAAGACTTGTTGAATGAATGAATAAATGAACAAAGATAACACAAAATTATTAGGCACTGACTCTACACCTAGCAAAGTGCTGTGGAAGGTTTAAAAGGTCTTTAGAGAAAGGAGACAGGAACTAGATAATCAGTGGCTGATTATCAATGTAAATCAGTGTAACACACAGGCTGTAAGAATTCATACAAGGAAATGCTTTGCTTATCTCTAAACCGTTTTCTAAGAATGGCTCATTGGATGTGAACTATGTCCTGAATCCTAGAAGTAATATGAAGTAGAGTTATCACTGAGCACAGGTCTCCCATTTTTCTTTCTTTTTTTCTTTTTATTTTAATTCAATTAATTAACGTATAATATATTATTGGTTTCAGAGGTACAGGTCTGGGATTTATCAGTCTTATACAACACCCAGAGCTCATTACATCACATGCCCTCCTTAATGTCCATCACTCAGTTACCCCATTCCTCCACACTCAGGTCTCCCATTTTTCTAAGGGTATCCAGTTCCAGATACATCAGTTAAAGTGGAGCCAACCTCTACCACTTGGCGTGTGCTCACTTTTGCACTACACGGTCCCTTCAAATCTGACTTCCTTCCCGAAGCAAGAGGAGAGAACCTGCTGTACTTGTCCAAAAAGAGCTTGTCCAGGATGCCTGGGTGGTTCAGTGGTTTAAGTGGCTGCCTTCGGCTCAGGTCATGATCTCAGGGTCCTGGGATTGAGTCCCACTTCAGGCTCCTTGCTCAACGGAGAGCCTGCTTCTCTCTCTGCCTCTTCCTGCCACTCTGCCTGCTTGTGTGCGTGCTCTCTCTCTCTCTGACAAATAAATAAATAAAATCTTAAAAAAAAAAATAGAGCTTGTCCAAAATCACTAGGGCTGTGGTTCACAAGTAGAAGTCATCCGTCTTCTGAAGAACCACACAAAATACTAAAAGGGTGGGGAAAGAAAAAAACACAAAACAAAACAAATCACTTTTCTGTTAAAAGAGAAATCTTCATAGATAAAACCTGGCAGAAGGCTTAAGAACAATTGTAGGCAAAAAGAAAACAGATTATTCTACACATTTTATTATTTTTCCCATAGCAGACTACAAAATGGCAACCTTTATCTGACTCTAAAAACAAACACATAGGGTGAACTTAGGGCCCATCAGTGCTCCGAGGGAATGTTGCCTGTGGACATGAATTTGGGTGTTTGTGGTGGGGGCTGGGATGGCATGAATATTTTCCAAGCCTTATTCAAACAGTAACTTGTATCTGCTATCATGCTATCAATTTTTCCAACAGTGGATTGCAAATTCACCTCATAAATCAATCTGTACAAGAGGTCAGAAGCCAACCACAGCCAATTAAAACCTCTCAGCAATAATTCATCTAAGATCTGAGTAAGGATTTTTTTTTTAACAAGTCCTAGGAGGCTCTTGTTTATTCTAATCAGATCAGAAGAGGAAGAACTAAATTGGGTAGAACCTGCATTTTTCTCTTATCCCAGAACACAAACTCAGATGTTTTTATAGGGAAAGGAAGAGGAAAAGGAGAGAGATATGAGGAAAGAGTGGGCTGAGAAATCAGAACACTTTCTGCGCCTAAAGCAGTGTTACCGAGGCTCTCCCAAGGCCAGACCTGCGCCTAACTGCCTCATTCTGGGGTGCTTCGATTCCAACCTCTTTGGCGTCTGAGTCCTGTCAGTATTGTGTCCAACAAGTAAATACAGTTCAACTACAATTCAGTGAGTGTCTTTGACAGGTCAGGCCCTATGGAAGCTTGAAATAAATCCGGTATGCTTGTTGGTTTTTAGAGGACTGTAGATTACAGGTTACCCAGAGCTGAGAAATTGCTGGAACAATTAAGAGGCTATAGAGCATATACTCTGTGTGTGTAAATATGTAGCTTTACACGCACATATTCATATAGTACAACTCTACCACCGTAATGATAGTTGTTGAAACTGTGTTGAAAGCTGAGTGAACTCGGAGAAATCATTCAGCTTTCTGAACTTCTGTTCTGCGTCTGGGAGATGGGGGATAACATCCCGACAGCGTAGGCATGAGGGAGATGAAACAAGATGTTGGCAAAGCTTCGGCGTGCTCTCTGGCCCCCAGGGTGGCCACTCAGTTCTGGCTGTAAGGAAACACACTATGGGATTCTGGGCCCCACGGCAGTGCTCCCTGCTCCTCAGCTCACTGGGTTTCTAACTCCTCCCTCCAGTCACAAGTCTAGCCCGATTCCTGATGGATCACCGCACTGATGCGTCCTATAGGTTGGGACTGAGGAGCTGCCAACAGCCAGCCTCAGCCTCCTGTTGGGGGCAGAACAGCCCACGGGGGCAGTCTCTGCCTGGCTGGAGGGGCTCCCTGTTCCCCAACATGCTCCTGCCTGATTAGCAAGACTCTGACTTCATCCTCCTCCCAACCTCCGGCTCACAAGCAAACCCTCTAGCTATTTTTAAAAACAAAATGCTTTATTTCCTGATTATAAACATACAGGGAAATGCTTATTGTAACAGTTGGAACAGACGTATAAAATGTATAAAGGAACAAAATTAATAGTCTTGCTGTCTCCATTCCCTCTATCCTGAGGTAGTCAACATGACTTGTAAATATCTTCCCATGACTTGTAAGTACCCAAAAAATACAATATCCATACTTTAAAAGTATACATGCAATCCTATAGACAATGATAAATAGGGCGTGCCACTTGCCACCCCTACTTCCACAGAGTCCAAAGGATTACGGAAGCTTTTCCCAGCTACTATTTAGAAACTCTAGACAAAACTGTGAGATCTTTACCCAAGTTCGGCAGGACATTCAACAAAGTAAATAGAAATATTGGCTTTGTCTTCCTGGTTGCTATCTTTTAGATTTCATCCAAAGGGTTCCAAAGCGTTAGGTTTGTCAAAGAACTCATAATTGTTTTATTTCTCTGTAAAACCAGAGTAGTTTATCTATTTACGATCTGGTTCCCTTTCCTGGGACGTTCTCTTTGTCTTCAGCTTTTTCTAGATTTTGAGATACAGGCAAAGGAAAGCTGGCAGCAAGAGACACTGTCTTCCTCACCAGAGGTCTCTCGGCAACTACCTTCTCAGGGTGAGGAGATGGTGTGTGTGCTTGAGCAGACAAATTCTGTGGGCTGGCCACAGAATTTGGGTTGACCAGGGTGACCAGGCCCAACACCACACCAGCTAGGAGCG